AATATGGAGGCTGCTTTACTTTTTAACTTATCCAGTGTTGACCCGTGAGTGTTGGAGCCTGTTACTGGATACCCTGGGATGGTGTGAAGTGTGGGGGAGCTAAATCATTTTTGAACACTGCAAACTTTCACTTTTGAAGAAAACAATCTGGCTGTAAAATATTAAGCATATTGTACATTGATTTACAACTTTTTCAGTAAGAGCACCATCTTCTATCAGCTGCATTGAATCTGAGCCCCTTGATTGAATTCTAGCCTGTAACTTGCTCTCTGTAACACTTGGTTATTGTTACAGAGGAGTGTTTTGAGACCTCTTTGATAATTAAAACTGAAACACCCAGAAAAGCTCCCCTTGCCTTGTAATCTGTTAAAGGAAATGTGAGAAATATAACCTGTCTCTCACCCCTAATCTGTTATAAAGGAAGGGTTAAATGAAAGAAATCCCTGATACTCACTTTATAAGCAACAAGTAACAATTTATTTATCTATCTCTAACAGTGAACAAATTAACAGAACTACTAACAAACCAAGCATTCCACCACCCCCCTTATCTACTAACTATTCCTGAATAAAAAAAATTCTAATGGTATGCTGTTCCAATAAATACAAGTCCCACTTGTATAAACCAAAGTAATGAGGAAAAAAAATTAAAACTTAGCCTCTGGAAATAACAGCCAGGTTAAGTTTTCCAGAATGTTCTTTCCCTTCTCTGCTGTTTTTCATTCAGGATCCCCTTTCTCCATCGAATTCTTGTGTCAGGAATACTAACTAAGAGTCCTGTAATACCTTTATTCAGATGGTGCTTACTCTGAGAACTTAGATTTCAGGGAGAACCAGTGAATTTCTCTTTAGATGGCAGTTCGCTCTCTCATTGATTTTCAAATGCCCCCCCTATTAATTTTTTACAATAGGATTGGCCCTAGGTTGTCAAAACCATCAGATTTAAATTCAATTGTGTTTTGGTATCTAGGGTCTGGTTTAACTTAATTGGCTAAGTTCACAAACCTCTTGTCTTGGTAAAAATGCTGCTTTGCTTGCTAACAGTAGAGCCCTTTGATAAAATGTTTCAATTTCAAGAGCTGTGTGCATCTGCTGCTGACTGCAGACATTTTCTTAACCTAGCTTAAAAAACATAATCTTTTAAAGGGACCAGACACTCTTTCCCCCTATCATTTTACAAACATCAAATACTCTACCCAACTTCGCAACATTATATAATGAACTCTGTTGATCATTTATCTAAACAAAAGATATTGATGACTGCTTTTGCAGTTTTGTTTTGGTACAATGTATAGAATGAATTCTCTCTCTGATTAGATTAGGCTATGGTCTGTGTTTGTACAATGGACCTTATTTAAAAGAGGCAGGCTTGTGGTTTTACTTTACCTTTCATGTTCTCAATGTCCCAAAGAGCTTGCAGCTTACTAAAAGTGGATAATGTTGCAATGTAGGAAATGTGACAGCTAATTTTGAACAACAAGTTCCCACGAACAGTAATGTAATAACAACCAGATAATCTGTGTTATAGTGATAATGGTTGATGGATATATATTGACCAGAACACTGCAGAGAGCTCCTTACTCTTCACGAAATCTGTTACATCCCCCTGAAAGGGCAGATAGTGCCTTGATTTAACACCTCAACCATGAAGAACAGATGACCTCCGAGTTTACTCATTGAGTTAAAACATGTAGGTGTTTTTAATCGACCTGATTAGATATGTTATGACATGTCTGCAGGAGATGGGACTTGAACCTGGGCTATCTGGCCTAGAGAGGACATTGTATGGACCAATACCACTGTGCCACAAGGACATGTGGTATCTTGAACCGTACCTGGCAGCAGGGTCTGCAGGCAGTTAGCCAATCTGTGGCCAGGCTTCACTGGACTATCATTAAAAGAATCAAATGAGACTATATTTTAATTGATGTGTGATAAAGTTGTCATTTATTGCCTGTTCAATCATTGTTTGACCACCACCGTGAACTGTTGTAGTACTTAATTTTTAGTTTGCAAGGAAAAGTTTGTTTATAAAGAAAATAAAGTAATGCTTGCATTTGTATAGCACATTTCATGACTTCAGGATGTCTTGAAGCTGGCTGCAACAAATGAAGTACTTCAACGTGCAGTGTTGGAAATGTATTGTGTTGTTCTTTCTTAGAACAGTTAATGTTCAGTCATCCACACAGCTTGTGCCTCTGGTTGGATGGAAGTTAGACAGAGTGGAGCTTTCAGCCTTGATTCCAGAAAGAACATGTGTGAATACTGGAGTTTTACAACAATCATGTGGTTTTAATCATTTTTCTTTATACCTACTCATATGTGACAGATTATTGAAATTGGAAATTTCAAAGCGCTGAAACAAGTGATGGGGAAGGACATTAGACATTACATGCTCATTGCTCACCCGAGGAGAGCAGAAAATGCAAGCAGGGATGTGCTATAACCATTTTAACTTTAAATTTAGAGTAAGGCCATGCTGAAGTTCTTTTGAAAAGGTAACTGAACCTGTGCCTGAGAATAAAGTGGATGATATCATTTTTTAAATGACAAGAAAAAAATTGTTCAAGTTTTACAAGTGAAAATTTTAGTAAAGATTAATTACCCAGGTCATAATGACAGCTAAACCAGCAGGACAGTTTACCAGTTAATCGAGTGGGAAAAGCTCTGTCTGGATTCCAGTGATTGGAGGAGTTTCATAAGAGTCTATCCTAGGTTCCTCATTGTTTCTAAATGTGTTGGAGTAGAATAAGCTGTTGACATCAGTATATTTGATAGGTAAGTTTGGCTAATATTCGATGTGGTATTTGAGGTTAACAGTTTTATAATTCTTCAATAAACAAACATTCAGTTGCAGGGATAACAAGGTATAGAGCTGGATGAACACACCCGAGGAGAGCAGA